TGCCTGAGGGGAGGGGGAGAAGAGGAGAGAGAGAACAGACAGCAGTGTGGGCTGAATGTCAGCGGAGGTGAGTCAGTGCTGCTGCAGGCGGAGGCTTCCAGAAACTCACCTGAGACACAGACAGACAGAGAGAGAGAGACAGAGAGACAGACAGAGAGAGAGAGACAGACAGACAGACAGACAGACAGACAGACAGACAGGTCCTCACTGTCTTCCACACCCACACACACACACACTGAGTTACACTGAGACTTGTTGCTGTACATTAAAGGAACAGTTCACCACTCTGCCACAGAGCCTCAGTGGGTGAAAGGACAGGTCCCGACCATCAGACAGACCTCTGCAGAGATCAGACATCACTTCTTGTGTTTCCCTTTGAACTGTATATCATTCTTTAAACTGCAGAGATTCTACAAGCAGCTTCAGGTCGGACTCACCGCCGAGGAGGAGGAGGAGAAGGAGAAGGAGAAGGAGGAGGAGGAGGAGGAGGAGGGGGAGGAGGAGAAGGAGGAGGAGGAGGAGGAGGAGGAGGAGGAGGAGGAGAGTGAAAAAGGTGCTGCACATTTCTCAATTTTGCTAAATGAATTAATTATAGGTAGAAATGGGCGTGGCCTATCTGAATCAAGCTCAATCATCAAAGCAATGCATTGATGATTTATTATATGGAAGCTCATTCATGCCAGAAATAAAACATAAACTGAAAACGTTGTCTTCATAACAAAAACTAAATGTTCATGTTGGGATATTTTTAAATCTTCATCATATTTTATATTTATATTTATATTTAACTGGCAGCTTCCACAGTTTAAACACCCCGAGCCTCAAAGCGCTTTGGAGGCCTGTTTGTACTGTCAGCCATCAGACTGCACACCCACAGCACCCAGTACCTCCACCCTCCACACCCACAGCTCCCAGTACCTCCACCCTCCACACCCACAGCGCCCAGTGCCTCCACCCTCCACACCCACAGCACCCAGTACCTCCACCCTCCACACCCACAGCTCCCAGTGCCTCCACCCCACCCACAGCGCCCAGTACCTCCACCCCCCACACACACAGCTCCCAGTACCTCCACCCTCCACTGATTAAGAGTGGTTTAACTTTCAACCTACGATGCACAAACTATTTATATTTAAATTGTTGAATTGCACATTAGTAGTTTAGTTTCATACATATTTTGCACACCATTTTCCTGCATATTGCATTTAATGTAATATATCCATGACTTATATTTTATAATATTCTTATCTTGTGATTCTTTATTGTACTCTTTGCTCTACACTCTGTGCTGTTGTGTGTGTGTGGTTGAATGTCTCCTACAGGGATCAATAAAGAATCATCTGATCTCAGAAGCAACAGTGTGTGTGTCTTATAAACTGCAGTTAAAGTATGAAACTGTTGTTGTTATATTTCATCATGTCAAACAGGATTTTACTGTAGAACTCTTTGTCCTCCATTGATCCACTGATGGATCCATCACAAGCACAAAGTTGCATGAGGAAAAGAAACTCCTCGTGTGTGCGCTGGAGTAAATGTCCTCGTTTGTTGGAAGAGGCGAGCGGAGGATGAGTCAGCCGCTCTTCAGTCCGACCACGCTGCCGGATTTCAGCGAGTGTGTGGGCGAGAGAAGAGCGCGGGCTGGCAGAGCGCTGGCAGATGGTCGGCAGGCGGAGGATCCATTCACACAACTCAGACATGAATGAAGACAAAGAGCTCCAACAAACACAGCTCCTGTCAGCAGAGACAGCCCAACAACACGGATCAATCACACCGATCGATCAGACACAGCCCAGAACAAAGCATCACAACACATTCAACAAACAGAGAGCGAGAGAGGGAGTTTGATTCCCTGTCTCATAGTGACAGCTGTTTCCATTATTGTGTCCACTGTTTCTACCAGTGATAACACAATACTGAGGTCAATAAGTCTTCGAACTGCAGGACATCAGGCTGCAGAGCTGCTGTAGAGAAGCAGCTGCACATCCATCGATGTGTGTTACAGATACTGAGATACGAGCTGTGATCAGTGTGGGAAGGATCATTAAAACTATTAACTATTAAAATCATGATGTGACATTTTTAAGGTTTTTACCTGTTTTGTTAAATCTGGAGAACCAGATTCAGTCTGGGAATCTCTGCACAACAATGGCAACAATATTTCATCAGAACTCTGTCTGTCTCGTTTTACCTTCAAACTAACTGCAGCTTCTCTACATCAAACAATAAGAACTATACGAGAGAGCTGAGGTTAGTTTGTTCACTTAATGATGTTACTGAGTGAAAGATGTGTGTCTGTACATCAAAGAGAACAGTGAAGAGTCCCAGTGGACTCTTCATCAGTCTGACAGCTGTCACCAGAACCACAGAGTCCGAGGACTGTTGCAACACGGACCTTTTCTCTCGTTACACATACTATAAAATGGAGCTCGAGGCTACGTTAGCAGTGAAGAACAACAAAGTGGTGGAAGATGTCACACAAAGTCGAAATTAAAACCAACTCTGAACTAAGAGCTCACTTTTATTTTGAAGGTCAGAAATCCTTTCAGTGCTTACACAAATAAAAGTCAACCGTAAAGAAAAACACAACAAAAGCAGAACATTAGAGTCTTTTCCGATATAAAAATAGAACTTTTTCTTTTTTAAGGGAAGGAGCGACGCCGAGCGAGGTCACGGGGTCAGAGGTCAGACAGGAAGTTCAGCCCAAGAGTTCAGATCTGAGGGAGAACCAGCTGAACTTCTACAGTATCTGGTCCAGGTGATAGTCTGTGAACCTTCAGGAGGTTCCTCATTTCCCCTCGCCATCATCCTGTCGTTCTTTTCTTACAGGCACAGTCAGAGGTCAGGGGTCAGAGGTCAGGGGTCAGAGTCCCTCAGGCATCGCGCACTTTTTGTTTCGGACCTGAACGACTTCCTTCCTCTCGGTCAGGAAGTTTCCGAAGGCGTCGGCCTCTTTGCTCTCCTCCGTGGCTGGAAGACAAACAAACAAACAAACAAACAAACAAACAAACAAACAAACAAACAAACATCAGCATTATTTCATCGTTTAGTTTTTGACAGTGTAGAACGGGCGGTCGGGTTTCTCTGCTCACCGCTGTGGTCGATGTCGTCTGTGTCGCTGTCCTCCTCTTCCTCCTCCTCGTCAGGGTTACCGCGGTTCATGATGAGGTCACTGGGTCCGGCGATGTCCACGTCCTCTGTGGACAGGAAGTCAATGAGCAACATTCAACAATAAAGTAACAGTAATAATAAACCAGCTGTTTTCATCAGTGAAGGATTTCTTTCCACCATTGTTGGAAACACTAACAGACCGTCTGAGTTCAACATTGTATCTACTGAGTCTGCTGTTGGTGGTTGAACTAAAGGTCTCTCTGTAGGGATCCTTTCCATTCTGCTGTCACACACTGACAATAACATTATTTACATCCAACATTTAATATTTGATTCAACCTTTTTCAGTATTTGTGTTTTTCTATGCAGCTGAAAGCAGGTTGAACTGAGAGTACAGACTTCCTGTATCATTGGCTCTACCTGTAGGAGGCGTGTTCGTCATGTGGACGGCGCCCAGGTCCTTCCTCAGCCGCTCCAGCTGCTGCTGCTGCTTCTGGTTCTGAGCCTCCATCTGACGGACAGGAAGTGGGTTAAAGCGTGGAGACGTGTGAGGACGGACGGTTAAAAAACACACACAAACAAACTCACCAGCTGTTTACGGAGTCTCTCATATTCAGGTCGGTAGTCCCTGAGGAGGAGGAGGAGGAGGAGGAGGAGGAGGAGGAGGAGTTAAAGCTGTTACATCCATGAGAAGATACAACACTTCATATTAAGGTCCTATGAGCTAGTTGTTCATTAGCATTTACATTAGCAGCATATTGACTCTTTATTAGTCATTATAAAGCTCTTATTAATGCTTTATTCTGAAAGACCATACTCTACAACTACTGGGACATTAACTAATGACTGGATGATGTTAATAGATTGATTGTGATCGTTAAGAGGAGCAGTAATTAGCAGGTTGTTGAGGGACTCAGTTAAGCAGCTGTAGGTAAACCCTGTTTCTAACTCACTTCTCGTACTCGTCGGCGGCCTCCTCCACCTGAACGAACAGCTCGTCCAACCCACTTCCTGTCACTGCGGACACGCCCACCACCTGCAGAGAGACACACACACACACACACACACACACACACACACACACACACACACACACACACACACACACACACACACACACACACACACACACACAGGAAGTTAACTCACTAATGCGACAGGTTTCTACCCACAGCTGGACTCATTAATAACAAACACACTGTGTTTAATTTGGAAAGTAATTTAAAAACAGGCACACAAACACAATCCTGATCAGCCAGCATCAGTAATCAATACTCCCATTATTAAAGCACTAATCAAACACTAACACTGCACCAAACTCCCTTTAAGAAATATCACATTTTAACAATTCCTAACGTGTTCGTAACAACACGTAACTCTAGAAACACGAGCTAAAGGCCGTCATATGTCCACAGTCTGACTGTCAATACAGGATCAATATCATCCATAAAGATACAGTGTATACTGATCAATATCATCCATAAAGATACAGTGTATACTGATCAATATCCTCTCACCCTGAGGTTTGTGTAGAACTCGTCCAGAACCAGACTCATGGATCGGGTCAGGTTGCTAACGTACGAGGTTTCCTGGTTCAGAGCGTCCTGGAAAACCTCAAAGTCCTGCATCCACTCCACCGCGAAGCTGTGGTCGATAATGTCCGTCTGTACGCACGGAAAATAAATCAGCAACAACAACAACAGCAACAACAACAACAACAACAACAACAGCAACAACAACAACAACAGCAACAACAACAACAGCAACAACAACAGCAACAACAACAGCAACAACAACAGCAGCAGCAACAGAGTAAAATATAAACACAGCGGACAGGAAGTGACCTCACCTTGTTCATAACGACGATGAAGGGCAGCTTGGTCTTGTAGAGGATACTGAAGGAGAGGAAGACCAGAGTGAAACACAATGTCCCACAATGCACTGCTGCAGCTGGTGGTGAGACAGGCTGATTATTTTTGTGTTGAATTGCTGATTAAATAAACTGAAAATGAGGCTATGATTCAAACTGTAGTACAAATGGAAGTTTTATTTGACTCAATTTACTTTTGTTTATTAAAATGTTCATTAAAATCAACTGGAGGAGATTTCAGAAGGAGACTTCTGGTGAGTGAGACTCAGACTGACATCAGATCTGTGTGGTTGTGTGTTCAGACACTGCAAACGTTACGGCCCGTTATGTGTCTGCAGCTCTCTCACTCCACACTGACTCAATGTTGAACTGCTTCATCCTCATTCGTCACAAAAACATGGTTGAAAAATAGTGAAGTTAGTGTTTAAATGACACAGTGAATATCTCTCTGTTGAACTGACGTTAATGTACACTGAGTTTAACCGTAAAACAGAATAATGAACAATCAGTGTACACAAGAACTTTAGTGCCACTCAACCTCATCATTTCATTTTATAAACCACCGTTTACTCTCCTTTGTTCTGTATTATTTTGGTGTTTCCTTTTGTCTAACAGTGAATGAAAGATAGAGAGAATACTGATTGGAGAAAAGATTGGTGGAGGAGTAAACACTGTAGGCAGGCAGTATGTACAGCAGTGGAACTGGATCTCATCAGGTTTCTGCTCTGTTAGCGCCCCCTGCTGGACAACTGAAGCCACAGCCAACACACACAGCCAATACACACAGCTGGGTTCAGTTTGGGTTTGTGGAGGTTTCAACAGGTTCAGTTTAAGACCTACTGTACATTTCTACTGGCAATACAACCTATATGAATATAGTTCTGTAGCTAGAGGTAATGAAGGAACATCTACAGGACTGTTTCCTGTTTCCAGCAGATCAACAGGGATGTGTGTGAGTAAGGTAAGATCCCCCCCCGCCCCCCCCCTCTGCTGAGAGGCTGATGTACCTGCAGGCGTAGAGCATGTTGGACATGAAAGTGACGGGGCTGACGCTGCGGGACGTGTCCATCACGTAGATCACGACACAGGGGAAGGAGGACGCCTGAGAGACAGACAGGAGGAACGTAAACTGACTGATCCACGGAGAGAGAGACAGAGACAGAGAGAGAGACAGAGAGAGAGTGACAGAGAGACAGAGAGAGACAGAGACACAGAGAGAGACAGAGAGACAGAGACACAGAGAGAGACAGAGACAGAGAGAGAGAGACAGAGAGAGAGAGACAGAGAGACAGAGAGAGACAGACAGAGCCAGCGACCAGCAGACGTACCAGAGTCTCCGTGATGATGGTTCCAGACGCAGACCAGGTGAAGACTTCAATCTGACCCGGGGTGTCGATCAGGACGTACCTGCAGGGGTCAGAGGTCACTTTATAAATCAGTTTTATATTGTGTGAATGTTGGGGGGGGGGCTGATACTGACCGGTGATTGTGCTGCTTCTTCTCGATGAACTGCATCACCTGGAGAACACAAACACAGAGAGTTCCTCAGTCTGTGGATCAGTCAGACCCAGAGGAACTGTGGGGATTGTAGTCCCATCTGGTACCACCTCAGTTTGTAAAATAGTCAAAGTTCAACAAGTCTGAGAGTTTAAATGTGATGTTTGGGGCTGATGGGAGAACTGAAGTCAGACTTCGGCTTTTTCGTGGCGTAACGCAGATTTCTGACGCCTCGCCACCGATGATAACCTGATAACATTTCATCATGAACTTCTTCAGATTGTACAGACCAAATCTGAGTTTGGGAAGTGGCTCCAAGAGGCTTTTTGGTACATCTTGACAAGACGTTCATTTCTGGGTTTAACAGCTGACAGAGGAGGCGGAGTCAGACGGAGTCACCTGATCAAAGCGTGTAGCGAACAGGTTGAGCGACGTCACGATGCCTCCGTTGGGTCCGAGGCCGTACTGCTTCATCACCTCCTTGTAGTTCACAGTGTCCCTGATGTCTGCGGGGGGGAGGACACACAACCAACCCTAAACTCAGGACTGTTACCGTAGTTACTGTAACCGCAGTTACTGTTACCATAGTTACTGCAGGGCTCCAGAGCACATGCGACCAAAATTTTTAAGAGTGCGACTAATCATTTTTCTAGGTCGCACTGGTGCACCTGACGCTGCCCGGGTGAAAACATACATTTATTTCACAAGCGCATCATCTCTCTGTGTTCTCCTGAGACCGAACTCACACACTCATGGTAGGATCATATCGGGTTCTGATCCAATAAGAGACAGAGCTCGGCGGGTCTTTGCCTCTGATTGGCTGTGGTCCTGTTCACCGCGCTAAGTTGCGTGTGTTTAAAAATTGCAGAGTCTGGGATAGAGCCCGGCTCCGAGACCCAAATTAAAAAGGTCAAAATATATTCCTTCAGACAGGACTGGCTGAAACAAGTTCCCTGGCTGAGGTTCAACAAAGGACGTAACGCAATGCACTGTGTGTACTGTCAGGAGTGCGGTCAGAATATGGATGGATATAGTGCATTTGTGAGCGGGTCAACAACGTTTCATATAGAACTTTTATTTGGAAATGTTTTATTTTGCCTAGTGTTTGAGTTTGAAATGTTCAATTTCAGCTCAGTGAAGCACTTTAAACACTTTATTTTTCTTTTTATATATAATTGTGCTTCAAATAAAGACAAGCATTTCTCTACACCTTATTGTTGTTTAAAAATCATTTACAGTATATGAAAGTAATGGAGAGCGATAAAAAGGTGACCTTATGGTGTTAAAGGCGACGCAATGAAAGATTTGGGTGCACCTAAAAACAATAGTTAGGTTCACCAGTGCAACCAATGCAAAGAGTTAGTCTGGAGCCCTGCACTGTTACCGTAGTTACTGTTACCGTAGTTACTGTTACCGTAGTGTTAAATATCTGTGCCGTGTGCTCACCGATGTTTGCGGGGAAGGGGACTTCGTGCACGGCGGGGTCCAGGTTGATCACATACGGAGGAGCTTTAAGGGAGTGGAGGTGAGCCGTCAACCTCTGGAGGAAACAACAACACTGAGATTAAAACACACAAAGCTACAGCGTCATACAGTACACTACTTTATCACACTATCATCAATATCATCAATATCATCAATATCAACATCATCAATATCATCTACATCATCTACATCATCAATATCATCAATATCATCAACATCATCAATCACAGTGACTCAGTGAAAACAGGACGGCTGAACAAACACCATTCATGTTAAAGCAAAGTTTCCTTCCTATAAGTATACTGCTCTATGTTATATATATATATAACGTAATATATATATTATTATATATATTATGTTATATATCGGCTGAGAGTCGCCTGCTGCTGATCTCTGATGTTGATCTGACGGTGAACTCTGAACTCTGAACTCCAACAACAGATCAGAGCTGTAATGTTCAGGTAAAGGTCAGAAGATCATGTGACCGTACTGAAGCACCTGGCGCTGCAGAGATACCTGATCGATCAATATGAGCAGCTCTAATTCAACACAAAGGAAGATCTGTGGGGACTATTTACAGCGGCGGAGGAATCCACAGTGTGTGTGTGTGTGTGTGTGTCAGCAGGAGGGTGTGATCTGATGATGAAGATGAAGATGAAGATGCATGAGGATTAGAAGCCAACTACAACTATCTTCAGAGCTGAGTTCATTATTGTAGAATAACTTTAATAAAGTTAAAACTGCCAGTTCCCCTGATCAATAAAGTCAATGTATCAATGAGCTGTGACTGACAGTGAGCATATCCCATTAACTGATCAAATCAAATCAAGTTTATTTGTATAGCCCTTTACAATAGCCGAAAGGTACCCAAAGTGCTTTACAACAAAGCCATGAAACAATACATAACACATATATAACATACAAATACAATTTAAAGTGCTGCAGCACTGCAGGGTATTAAAAGCCTTCCAGAAATGCACAGAAAGGAGCAGATAAAAAGAGTACACCTAAGAGACAGTACTGTCCTATTCAGAATTAAAAGCTAATCTGAAAAAGTGGGTCTTAAGCTTCGATTTAAAAAGGCCGAGATCAGTAGTGGTGTGAATGTCAGGGGGCAGTTTGTTCCACAGTCTAGGAGCAGCGACGGCAAAAGAACGATCGCCCCACTGTTTAAGTCTGGACCTAGGGACCTCTAACAGAAGCTGACCCGAAGAGCGCAAGGCTCTGCCACAATTGCGAAAAGTTAAAATCTCTGACCAGTAAGAGGGGGCCGAGCCGTTAATGGTGTTAAAAACAAACAACAAAAGTTTAAAATCAATTCTAAAACGGACTGGAAGCCAGTGGAGTGACGACAGCACAGGAGTAATGTGTTCGCATCTGGACGTGCTAGTTAAAAATCGGGCTGCAGCGTTCTGCACAAGTTGGAGACGAGAAATTGAGGACTGACTGAGGCCGACGTAAAGGGCATTACAGTAGTCCAGTCTTGAGCTGATAAAAGCATGGATTGCCTTCTCAAGATCCTGCCAACTGAGAAAAGACTTCACTTTGGCCAAAAGACGGAGCTGAAAAAAGCTCGTACTGACAACCGAGCTAATCTGTTTGTCAAATTTGAGCCCAGTATCAAATGTTACCCCAAGATTTTTGACATGTGATTTAAAAAGAGGGGCCAGAGTGCCAGAATTTGTGGTGAGAGCATTCGACTTAGCTGGTGAACCAAACAAAATGCATTCAGTTTGTCATTTAAGTGCAAAAAGTTCTGTGACAGCCACTGTTTTATATCTGTGATGCAGTCCAGCAGTTTAGTAAGTGCAGTGTTTTAATTTGGTGTCATGGGCAAATATATCTGCAAATCATCGGCATAAAAGTGAAAAGACAGGTTGTGTTTTTTTATAATTGATCCCAGAGGTAGCACATACAATGAAAACAGAATAGGGCCGAGAATAGATCCCTGTGGCACCCCACAGGGCAGCGATGCATTTGAGGAGCAGTGGTCACCAATCGAGACAGAGAAACTTCCTGTTTGCCAGGTATGACCTAAACCACTGGAGAGCGGTGCCACGGATGCCAACGTGCTGCTCTAAGCGAGATACAAGGACTGCATGGTCGACTGTATCAAAGGCTGCTGTGAGGTCCAGCAGCACCAGCACAGCAGGATTCCCAGCATCCACAGACAATATCATTGTGCACCTTTAACAGTGCTGACTCGGTGCTATGTCGGGATCTAAAACCAGACTGAAATTTATCAAGAATAGAATTGATCTCCAAAAATGTCTGTAATTGAATAAAAGCAACTTTTTCTAAAACCTTGGAAAGAAAAGGAAAGTGGGAGACAGGTCTTAAACTGGAGAGCACAGAGGGGTGAAGAGGAGTTCTTTAGGAGGGGCCTAACCAGCTGGAACAGACCCTGAGCTGAGACTAGTGTTTATAAAAACAAGCAGACCTGACCCAACAGAACTCAGAACCTCCTTCAAAAACTTGGCTGGAATAATATCTAAGGGACAGTTCGTGGGTTTCATGCCACTAACCACCTTAGTACAAGAAGACAGAGAAATGGTCTCAAACCGCTCGAAGACAGCAGTCTGTGCCGGAGGAGCACAGACATCATCAAGAGACATTCATATCACAGATATTCTACATACAGACGCCACTTTATCAGTAAACTGATGTTTAATAAAGATAAACTGTTAATAAACTGTTAATAAACTGTTAATAAACAGTTACCGGCTACCTCACGCTGTTAGCCACCGTTAGCCTCCGTTAGCCTCCGTTAGCCACCGTTAGCCGCTAACTCACCTGAACGAAGGTGGTTTTCCCGGAACCCGCCATCCCCAGCACGAGGAGACACACGGGTTTCTCCCGGGCAGCCGCCCCCGGTGTCCCGCTGTCTCTCCCCGCGGCTGAACTCTCCTGATTCTCCGTCAGAAGCTCCGCAGAAGCGGCACCGGCTCCGGGACACTGCGCCGCCTCCGCCATGTTGTCTGATGTTGTGGGAGCAGAGTGCCGTAAACTCTGTGGTACTGTCGTGAAATGAGTCGTACGCACTACTCTTGCCTGATGATAACCGACTGCCGTAAACACTGCGGTACTGTCGTAGAAGTACCGATTCCCGCCGGCAGAGGGCGCCCCCGGGTTTAATGAGCTTTCAGTGTTATAGAGGAATATGATTTACATACATTTATTTATTTATTTACCTTTTAGTTCTCTGAATGTCTTTAATGCATCTTATTACTGTTTCACACGAGCTATTGTGGCTTCTAAAGGTTATAAGATATGTAACGAGTAAATATGCAGGGTCAGCAGTCCAGGAGGATCATATAACATGCTTTTTCTTGGAAATATTAGGGGCCTCTTAATGCCCTTTGACCTCACATCTGTATAGGGGCCTTTCAATGCCATTTCATTCAGTAAATAACCTTCGTATGAGCTGAGGTTCTTTGTGTTACACCGTTCTGTAGAAGGCCGTTCCCGCTGTACTATAAATGAACTGGCTGTCTGAATACAATGACCACATTTCTTTATGTGATACATGATGATAGGTTGAAATATAGCCCAGCCTACACACGTCTGATGAACTGTACATGAACTAATGAATACAACAACCACCTCTATGTAATGGAAGACAGATTTATAGCCTGGCCTGAACATCGTAACTTTCCTCCAATTGTGGTCTGAGACGGGAGTGGGCTTTTGGTTCACTTGGTCTGGGACAGGAACATGTCTTCACTTGGGAATGCCTCCCTTATCTTCCTCTGACGTTTATCTTTTTATTCTTTATGATCATTGACTCTTTGTTCTGTCTTTGTTTTATGCATATTAAAATCCTGGTAGCGAGGAACTCATCATCGACTCCTCGGCAGACGCTGACTGTCACTTGCCGGTGTCGCTCCTTCTGCGCAGAAGCTAAATAAATATACAAAGACAAATTTCTCTTTGTTGGTTTTTCCTTTATTCGGTCAAACTTCCACCACAAGAATCAGATGTTCCTTCCCTATAAAAGCCTATGCCTATGCTGGACTAATAAACCTTTATATACAATCAAGACAGTGTCAGCGACTTCTCTTCAATACATCTTCACATCATCGCTACTCAATATACAACAGTATTTTTTTATGCCTGAATAACAAAAATAAAAAAAGAGGGAAGCCAGAGGTTCTTCTTCTTAAATCTTTATGAACAATATAAAAACATTCAAACACCAAACAACATCAGAGCTGATGGGAATCTTTAAATGAACATTAACATAAATGTGAAATACCAAACTCCATTTTCCCAGTGAGATTATCTGTCTCATGTTCTTCTGTCGGGATACAGAGAAAGATTGACCTACAGCAGCTTTAAGACCGGCAGCAGGAGATCTAATAACTGCTGATGAATAACCAAAACATCTCAATAACCATCAATGCTAAAAAAAACACTGTTTGTGTGCTAAATGTGCTGAGCAAGCTAAAATATAAATGAAAAAAAAACACAGGATATTTCTACAATGATGAGAGGAAGAGGAAGAGGAGGAGGAGGAGGAGAGGTATCAGGCTGCGTCCTGGTCGTCTGAAGGGAGGGGGCGTCATCGTGTCAGCAGCGTGACCTCAGCTCGCAGTGTGTCACCTCTTCGTGAGTTTGAGAGACGTGTGGTCACACCCGTCTCTCGCCTACTGGTGATGAACCGCCCACGCTCTGGTGGCCAGCGCCTATTTCACCTCTCTGCACGATGGCTGCCGTACGGCGTCCTTAATCTGTTTATCACTGCGAAAGCAGATACGTTCATTATTCAAACAAATAGCTGGAACTGTTTACATCAAACATTTAAAGTAAGCTAGCTTTTGCAAACATTAGCTATCTTAAGATGTAAGGATATATATATATATGTGTAACTTTTACTTTACTTTTAATGTAGAAACATGGTGCTTCAACATGGCGGACTCCGCCAGAAGAGGACTCGCTCCCTCTGTAGGTAAAAACGTCTCATTGTAAGGTAACAAAAACATAACAATTCTTATTTTATACACTAATGGAAACATACCGATGTTATATCATATTACATTTACAAAATCTTTAACTATAAATAATCATAAAACTACCGCTTATTTAAAGGAAATTTAACTACATACTGTTAATTTAATAGATTAACCTTTATTGACCTAAAGTTTAATACTTTTAATACATTTTAAAATGAAGTAAAATGAGAAAGTATTTGTTCTGTGATAGGAGTTATTACAACAAAAACGTTGAATAAATGTTGTTTCTCAGTGTATAAGCGTTGGTAAACGGCGCCCCAGCTGACAGACCATAATAGAAGGTTGTCTGATCCTCTTACATTGTGGATGAGGGCACATCGGCACTGTGCCATGGAGGAGGAACATGGCTGAGTGGGGACATTCCTCCGGCTGATTTTCGGCCCCGTCTGTGCACTCGTTTCCTTGTTTCCTCCTTTACTTGTTTCCATTCTCTGCTGTACCTATTGATCCAGCCTGGATGGATCCACCTTTAGAAGGGGTTCTCGTGGTTAACAGCAGTTGTAGGGACCTCACGATCAAGGAGATAAAGAGACACAGACACAAGAGACCAAACACAAAGTCTCCTTTTCTCCTCCAGGATCTGGCAGGCAAACGAAAACCTGAAGTAAAACTTTATCAGAACGTTTTTTAGAGTCTTTCTGAGCCGTAACAGTTCTGTAGGGTTTCAGCTTGCACTGACAGACGTCTTCAGGTTAGAATCATATGTAGACTCAGCCTGGTAGTTCTGGTAGGTGAGTGTCTGATGGCATGAAGCACAATCTCCAATGTAATTCAGTGGACCTATTACCACCACTTAATTAAAGTTCCAAGATAAACATACTAGTTAATTTATTTACATAAACCTTTTAAGTTGGAACAATTACATTTTTATGAGTACACTGTGATGTGATAAGTAATTTAAACTCAAAAAAAGTATTAAAATTGAACATTTAAAATGTTAACATAACACAAACTTAATTTAGGTTAAAAAAGATTCTTAATTTTAAGTTACACAAACATAGTTTTGTAAGTTACAGAAACATTCCTGTTTAAGTAGTTTTTAGTTATTTTGTTTTCACAATACAAAATAAAATATACAAAGTTTTAGTCAGTGTCAGTTAAAATTACTGATCAATAATGTTTCTGTACTTTGTTTTACTAAACTTTTTTTTTTTGAGTTAAATTAACTTAACAGCTTCCACAGTGTAGCCTAATAAACAACAACAAAAAAAACAATATTATGCAATCAAATTATTATTTAAGTGGTAATTAAAAAAAATAAAAATACATAACATAATTTCATTAGAAGTTGTCAAAACTCAAAAAGATTGATGCAAACAAATGTTTTTTGTCATTTGTTTATAGAGTGTAAACATAGAACATCTGGTTGTTTGCATTGTTTTTCTCAACCAGTGAATTATGTCTTTCAGTAGAGAGAGAGAAAGAGATTTGATGCAACAAAGGTGACAGACTGAATCCACACTGGGGATTGTTGTGGTTCATGGTTGGTTAAAACAGATAATTTATCATCTATAATTTAATAATCCCGATTTTAATTCAGAAATGATCTGTCCTGATAATTATCGTGCATCCCTAATAATAATTCCTTCGCAGTTTTTTGCTGAACATATTTAGTATAATTTCTCTTCAATCTCATTTTGTTAATCAAATTTAAATTTAGATAAATTTAAAGACAACATGCAACAAAGGTTTTAATATAAATCAAATGCTAATTACAAAAGGCACATTTTTAAAACTCAGCGATTTAATAATAACCAATCTGGAAGGGCACAGCAGCGGCGGTTTTAGCCTCTGTATACGTGTGCGTCCATGTCCAAGCGTCCGGATGTGTTCGAGAGTATCGTTGACGTTTAGCTCGACACTCTCTGGCCCAGTGTCCGAATGTGCCGCAGTTAAAGCACCGATCGCTTCTCTTATCTCTGCGCAGCTGCCTGAACCGAGGCGGCGCTTCCAGCTGCAGCCGCTCTGGTCCAGAATCCCCTAGCTGCTTCGCCGGGCATCGACCTTTGCGCTTTGGCTCGAACCCTCCGAGCCTCTCCATGCTTGATAACCAATGTTTGGCCTTTGTAAAATTAACTGTCGACCACAGAATACAGCGTTCTTTGAAAACAGCCACCACGTGAGGTTGTAAGAGGTTTATCATCATTGTTAGACCAACGCTGTCAATATCGACGCCCAGAGTGGACTCCCACACCTGCTGGAAACGCTCAAGGAAATCCGTTACCGGCTCTTGATTTTTCTGATGGCAGCACTGTACGGCAGAAAAATTGGCTTTTTGCCACACGCATTTACTAATAGAGTCCCAACAGGCGTTGTCGAGCCACGTCGCCATCGCATCAGCGCCTCGCCAGTCGGCGTTACCGTCTGCTCCAGGGATGTTAAAGTTCTGCTCAACATTTTTCCACTCACGGTTGTAAACGAACTCCAGCAGCTTGTGGACGTCAGCGGGACGCAGTTCGTACGCACTGCAAACGTTACACAGCCACGCGTGGAAATCTCTGGGTTTTATGATGGGGTTGGGGGCGCTTTGTACCAGGTTCAGGAGCTCTGCGGGGGTCCACACAGGCTCCACACGTCTCTCCTTTTCTACCTGGCAAACTGGATTTTCTACGACAGACCTCGGTTTTTCCTCCTCCTTTTCTTTTCCCCTCTCCGGTTTCTCTTCTGCTCTATGTTGTGGACTAACGGCTGACTCCACAGGTGCATCAGAGCCTTGTGCAGGCAGCGGAGGATGCGGACCAGTTCTCGGGCTTCCCTCCTCACGAAGGAGCAAGTCGTAATTAAGTCCGCCGAATTTTAGCTGTGCCAGTAATTTCTCCACGCTGGGTGGAACTGAATTCAGTGTCTCAGTTATTGGTTGTTGGGTTTCATATGTGATCCTGGGTGGAGGGGTGGCGGCGGCCGGTGGTTCAGGTTGAATTTTGGGTAGTTTTTTGGCTGTTTTCTCCAATTTAGCAGCACGTTCACAGACGTACGCAAAATCCCAGCTCTCATCTGAGTTCAACATTTCATTGAAATCGTTCAAATCACACAAATCATAAGTGAAAGGAAACATAAAGTCTTCCTTGTCCTTTTTCATTTCCTCTCTTTCTTTCTCCGTCTTCCGTCCACGTTTTGGTCTTTTGGACCGTTCATACTCTCCGTCCCACTGACCCTTCGTACAGCTCGACCCCATTATGACGACGTCTCACTCACGGTTCTGCAGGGGCGAATGATTCGCGTTTCGTCCACTTCAATCCTCTTCCCGCAGTTTCTAGAAATGCAGTTAGAATAAAGGAATAATTGACATTTTAGTAAATAAGTTTATTTGCTTTCTTGCCAAAAGTTGTGCATTATGGATGTTTTGTATTTCACTGTTATACTATCATATGTAAGTTGTGTTAGTTTGTGTCTTTTTCCTCTCCGTTAAGTTTGACCCTGTGTCATTTTCCCTTCGTTATTACCCAGTAATGATCAAAAGGAGGGAAACCTAACGGAGAAATGATCTGTTATATGTAGAGGGAAAATAATCATTTTGTGAATAACCTGTGTGATTCTCTGTATTATACTGCTCTGTAGAAAGCATGATTGGCACCATTTCCAAATGAACCTTACCTGAACTCCTGATATTGTAAATGAACTGACTTTCTTAATGCAATGAACACATTTATGTGATAAATGATGATGGGTTGAAATATAGCCTAGCCTGCACATGTCCGCTGAACTGCAAATGAACTCAATGAATACAATGACCACATTTACGTGATGTAAGGCTGAAATGTAGTGCGGCCTGCACATCACACCAATTTCAGTTTGGTCTAAGACAGGAGCATGTCTTTATTTGGAAATGGCTTCTGTTAATCTTGTTAAATCTTTGCTTTGATGTTTATCCTTTCATTAAATATAACTATTTTTAAAAATAGTTTTTAGGGCACAGTGTATTTACTTTTTATTGCTTTACTTTCCTGTCTGCTGCGGGATCGAGGACTTTCTTATCAGTAAGACAACAAACCGTTCATCATGGGGTTATAAACCCCTCTGACTCTTGATCTAAACCAGACCCACTGTGGTCTCAACAGATTGTACGCACACTCTCACTGGATGAAGGCTGATCCTTTGCAAGGTACTTTATTAAATAAGAGCATAAAAGACAAAGGTTCCCTGTGTAAAGTTTTTATTTTCAGATTCCCATAACTAACCTAGATTTCATCCAACCTGTAACTCTTATGGCACCTGAGGCTGCAGAAGAAAACCTGCCAGCTTTAGCTGCGTTTAACGAAGGACAAGAGAAGCAAACAGTAGCAGAGAAGTAATTTAACTAGTAGTGTAACTTATAACTGTGGGCAGGGAGTAATGAGCAAAGTAATAATATTACTCATGATAAGAGTAATGAGTAAAAGACCAACGCTGCAGATAAACCTATTTTTTTAACGATATCAGGTGTTATTTTGTTCAAATGTGGAACGATTTCAGTAAAATTCACTGCTATGAGAACGACAGGCGCCTCAGAAACTGGTTCAAACTGGTTACACACAGAAACTGACTACCGTGAACATTTACACCTCAGTGTTTGGGTGGTGGCTGGTGCTAATTTCTGTCAGTGCTATTAAAAGAAGAACACATCTGTTTCCTGTTTTTCATCATATTGGTTGCTTCTTCCAGAGTTTACATTGTGAATGTCTGAAGATTTGTCTGGTTACCGCTCATATAAAACTTGAGCATTAACAGAGGCGGTGTTGGGATTTCCCTAAAATCCCAAAATGTGATATTTTTGTATCTTTTGAACTCAAGTTTTTGTTTCGTCTCCTCATTTCCTGTCTGACAAAAACATTGAATATATACCTGCGGTCCTTTGCTGCGTGTAATCCCCTCTCTCTCTGCCCCCCTTTCCTGCCTATCTTAGCTGTCCTATCAAATAAAGGCAATAAAAGCCAAAAAAAATACTTAAAAAAAACCAAACTGCTCAAAGCACCCATTATTCTTGGACAGTTTTATATTAATACACCAGCAATGAAAATCACCTGATTGCTGTATTATTACTACAATCTTACCTGACTTTAATCATATATTATGGGCTGACTGTAGTAATATTATAACATAAAACATCATGGTGTAAAAATGTAAAGTTATAAAAGTCTTCTCTGAACTTACCCGAGTCCTGCAGCTGTCTTTGGCCCCAGCTCTGTCTGTCTGTCCGTCCTGCAGTGTGAAGGGAAAGTGAAATGGTGCTGGGCCGTCAGTGGGAGTGTGGAAGCTGAGGTGGAGCCAGTTTGAGTGACAGTGGGTGGACCTTGACCAGCTGCTGCAGCCAGTTCTGCTGCTACGTACAGCTTCCAAAAAAACATGTCACCAAACAGGAGAGCATGAGCGTCTCAGACCAAACAGTGGCACAGAAATAAAAGAATCAAGTAAAAGCGTCTTTGTTTGTCTTTGGAGATAACAGCTGTCCACCAGACTCCAGAGACAAAAACACTCTAAAAAAAAAAATTTTTTTTTTTTTTTGATTTTTTTTTTTTTTTTAAAAATTAAAAAATTTTTTTTTATTTTTTTTTTTTTTTTTATTGAGGGAGGAGAGAAAAAAAAAAATAATTTTTTTTTTTTTTTTTTTTTTTTTTTTTCACCAAAAAAAAAAACTTTTTTTTTTTTTTTATTTTTTTTTTTTAAAATATATGGGTTTTTTTTTTTTTTAAAAAAAACCTTTTTTTTTCTTTGTCTTTGTGTGGGGGGGGGTTTCCCACCCACCCCCCCCTACCATAAAATCACACCTAAACAAACACACTTTAATCCCCACGCGGTAGCGTACTGACTCATTTCCGGTTCACTTCCTGCTCTGTGTACACTGTTTGGTGCTGTAGCTCTGTCAGTGAACGCTAAATATACATTTGTTTTACTCGTTACAGCGGTTATTTACCCACTTAACATTTAAACGTAGACTAGTTCTACCTAAACCCCTTTACTCACACTTTCAAAGTTTTCCTACACTTCATTAGCATAGCAGTTTCTCCCCCTCCCCTCTCCTCTCCCCAGTTGTCTAGTTCAGTTATTCCTAAACCTAAACATGATATTGATTTACTTTGTCTTACTGCTAGAGAGACCAATCGGAACCAATGGAGGTCACTAAGTATTGGTCGGTTGTAATTATGGTAAAACCACGAGGAGTATGTTAGCCTAAATGAACCCACCCCACCAGTCATGAATTACTGGGGGGGGGGTAACGAATTGTGTTTTTTTTTTTTTTTTTAATTTTTTTTTTTTTAAATTTTTTTTTTGGGGGGGGGGCCCCTTTTTTTTTTTTTTTGGGGGGGTTTTTTTTTTTTAAATTTTTTTTTTTTTAAAATTTTTTTTTTTTCTCTTCTCTTTTTTTTTTTTTAAAACCCCCCCCAAACCCCAAAGACCCCCACCACACTAAATTATTCCTAGAGGAATAAACAGGGTTAACATAAAAATCTAATAAAAATAAAACCCCAGTACAAAAATAAGAATGAAATGTGGGCTTAAATATAGTAAACTAATATACACATTATATATTGATTTATTTTGTCTTACTGAGACCTGGTTGGCCCGAGGAGGTGTTAGCCTAAATGATCCACCCCCAGTCATATATCCACTTCCCGGCAGCCAAATATGATTCGAGCGTTTTAATGGACCCTAAACCTAAACTAAATTATAATTCATTTGAAAGCCTTGTTCTTAGTCTTTCTCACCCAAACTGGAAAACACTGCAGCCAGTTCTATTTGTTATAGTGTACCGCGCTCCTGGACCGTACTCTGATTTTATATCTGAATTCTCAGAGTTTTTATCAAGTTTAGTGCTTAAATCAGATAAAGTAATTATTGTAGGTGATTTTAATATTCATGTGGATGTTGACAATGACAGCCTTAGTAACGCATTTATATCATTAATAGACTCAATTGGCTTCTGTCAGAGTGTAAATAAACCAACTCATTGTTTTAATCACACTCTTGACCTTGTTCTATCATATGGCATTGATATTGAACATTAAATAGTCTTCCCACATAATCCTTTCCTATCTGACCATTGTTTAATAACTTTTGAATTCATACTATTAGATTATAAGCCATTAGGCAAAACTTCCTAGAGCAGATGTCTATCTGACAGTGCTTTAGCTAAATTTAAGGAGGAGATTCCTTCAGTGTTTAATTCAATGCCATGTCTGAATTTAACAGAGTCCTATAACGACTTTAGTCCCTCTGAAATTGATAATCTTGTCGATAGTGCTACAGGCTCACTACGATCAACCATAGACTCTATCGCTCCTATAAAAAGGAAATTATTAAAACATAGGAGACTAGCACCGTGGTACAACCACCAAACCCGCCAGTTAAAACAAATAGCTAGGAAATCTGAAAGGAAATGGCGCTTGTAAAAAAATTTTTACATCAGTATATAACCTTGTGTTAACGTGATCTGACACCACCGAGAAGGCTTTTCCGCGCACGCAAAAACTCGTCTTAACACAACACAAACCACATTGCTTCATGTAATACATGACAGGCTTAAAATAGCCCAACCACACGTCTGATAAACCACATAAAACCACCAGCATACAAGACAGACACATTATAGCCGGCTGAACATCTAAACTTTTCCTTTTCTTTGGTCTGAGAAGGAGGGCCCTCACTGGGAAGCCTCCCTTATTTGTCCCTACATCTATCTCTTTATGAAACATCACAACTCTTGTTCTTATGCATATAAAAACCCTGGTATTAATGCATTCTCATCAACTCATCGGAGACACGACTGTTACTTGTGATGTCGATCCTTCTGCGCAGAAGCTTGAATAAAGTACAAGGACAAATTTCTCTTGTTTGATTTTTCCTTTATTCGGTCAAACTTCCACCACAGCCTCTTCCAAATTATCAGAATATCGCTCAAATTGGCAAGATAATCTTAAAATTTATAGAAAGGCCCTCCGTAATGCCAGAGGAGCCTATTACTCAGCTCTAATAGAAGAAAATAAGAACAACCCTAGGTTCCTCTTCAGCACTGTAGCCAGGCTGACAGAGAGTCACAGCTCTATTGAGCCACATATCCCCATAAACTTAAGTAGCAATGACTTCATGAGCTTCTTCTATAATAAAATTATTCCTATTAGAGAAAAATTAATCATCAACTGCCATCAACAATTATCAGTGGCTCTCCAAGTTCAGGGACTTCTGTCAATGTAAACTTAGATATATATTTAGACTGTTTTTCTGCTATCAATCTTCATCAGTTAACTTCAATCTTTCTTCATCGAAGCCATCAACCTGTCTATTAGACCCGATCCCAACTAGGCTGCTTAAAGAAGTTGTTCCCTTAATTGGCACTTCTTTACTGGATATGATTAATCTTTCTTTATTATCAGGATATGTACCACAGTCCTTTAAAGTAGCTGTAATTAAACCCCTTCTTAAAAAGCCCACTCTTGACCCAGGGGTTTTAGCCAACTATAGACCAATTTCTAACCTCCCCTTCCTCTCTAAGATTCTGGAGAAAGTAGTCCCCAAAGAGTTGTGTGAACTTTCTACATAACAATAGTTTATTTGAGGATTTTCAGTCAGGATTTAGAGTCCATCATAGCACAGAGACAGCTCTGGTTAAAGTTAATAATGACCTTCTGACTGCTTCTGACAATGGACTTGTCTCTGTACTTGTATTATTAGATCTTAGTGCTGCATTTGACACCATTGACCATAATATTCTTTTAGAGAGACTTGAGCATCAAATTGGCATTAAAGGAACCGCACTAAGCTGGTTTAAGTCATATTTATCAGATCGCTCGCAGTTTGTACATGTTAACGATGAATCTTCAATAAATACTACAGTTAGTCATGGAGTTCCACAAGGTTCTGTACTTGGACCAATACTATTTACTTTATATATGCTCCCTTTAGGCAACATTATTAGGAATCACTCCATTAGCTTTCACTGTTATGCAGATGATACGCAGTTATATCTATCAATCAAGCCCAATGAAATTAATCAATTATCTAAATTACAAACATGTCTTAAGGACATAAAATCCTGGATGACCTGCAATTTTCTGATGTTAAACTCAGAAAAAAACTAAATTCTTGTTCTTGGCCCAAAAAAGCTTTAGAGACTCACTGTCTAAAGATATAGTTACTCTAGATGGCATTGACTCAGCCTCTAGCACCACTGTCAGGAATCTTGGAGTTATCTTTGATCAGGATTTGTCATTTAATTCCCACATAAAGCAGACCTCTAGGACTGCCTTCTTTCATTTACGTAATATTAGAAAAATTAGACACATCCTATCACAGACAGATGCAGAAAAACTAATCCATGCATTTGTTACTTCAAGGCTGGATTACTGCAACTCTTTATTATCAGGTTGCCCCAATAAGTCCATTAAGACGCTCCAATTAATTCAGAACGCTGCAGCACGAGTACTGACAGGAACTAGAAAAAGAGATCACATCTCTCCTGTACTAGCTTCTCTGCACTGGCTCCCTGTAAAATGTAGAATAGAATTTAAAATCCTCCTCCTCACCTATAAAGCTCTTCATGGTCAGGCCCCTTCATATCTTAAAGAGCTCATAGTACCCTATTACCCCTCTAGAACACTAAGTTCTCTGAATGCTGGGCTACTTATGGTTCCTATAGTCTCTAAAAGTAGAACAGGAGCCAGAGCCTTCAGTTACCAAGCTCCTCTCCTGTGGAACCAGCTTCCAGTTGTGGTTCGGGAGGCAGACACCCTCACCACATTCAAGAGTAGGCTTAAGACATTCCTCTTTGATAAAGCTTATAGTTAGGGCTGGATCAGGTGAGTCCTGAACCATCCCTTAGTTATGCTGCTATAGGCCTAGACTATCGGGGGATTTCCCATGGTGCACTGAGCTCCTCCCTTTCTCTCTCTTTCTGCACTCATTCATGTTCCATTAATGCATGTTACTAACTTCACTTCTTCCCCGGAGTTCTTGTGCTTTCTCGTCTCGCAGGTTCTTATCGATCCTGGTGGAGCCTCCTGCCATGGTCCTGCTAGATTGCCATTGCCAATACTGTTGTTGCTGTGCACCTGTCTGTCTGTCTGTCTGTCTCTCTCTCTCTCTCTCTCTCTCTCTCTCTCTCTCACCCCAACTGGTCGAGACAGACGACCACCCACCTAGAGCCGGAGGATCTGTCCTAGGTTTCTGCCTTTTAACAGGCAGTGTTTCCTTGCCCTTTTGGCCAAGTGCTTGCTCATGGTGGTACTGTTGGGTCTCTGTAAATAATGTTATAAGGAGTTCAGTCTAGACCTGCTCTATTTGAAAAGTGTCCTGAGATAACTTCTGTTATGAATTGGCGCTATACAAATAAAATTGAATTGAATTGAATTGAATTGAATTGAATTAAAACATTCATCTTCCACAGCTCATTTTACCTCCAGATCATCGTAACTTCATTAAAAGAGGACAGAAAAAACATAAAACTCACAACCGTCTTTGTTAGTCTTC